ATACCAAATGAATTTAAACATCACTCCATTTCACAAACAAGTGGCTATTAGGACTCTATAGCTAAGTAAATAACGTGATAGTTTTAAGCGATCGGCAACGGGTTCGAGTCTCGGAGTGAACATCAACTCGGAGATGCAGGTACTCCTAGTCGTTCAGCTGACGACTCCCGAATGGGAAGGAATGCGAGTTCTGCATCCCGGTGCTAGCCGCTATCTATCTTTGCTTATAATGCTTGTGACATAAGTTAATATCGAGACAATGCACACAGGATGGATATATGTCAATAAGAGACTGCCCAATTACAGTCCCAAATATCAACGAGAAGATTAAAGCAAACAATACCAAATGAATTTATAAGAAGTGATGTTTAAAGAATTCGATGATGAGTTTTTCATATTGTACAGTTAATGCATATGAGTAAACAATAGTAATTAAACTGGTTAATTCATCTAGAAATAGTGGAACTATGTAGCTTGATAATAATCAGTTTTATCCGTTTGTAATTACTTGAAATTTGTGCATTCACATTTCATTTTATTTTTAAACATAAAACATTTAGTTTAATAGTTAAATTCATGAGTCGATCTAAGCTAGACCACCATTGAAAACCTGAAACCACTGGACGGTGGTTTCGTCCTAGTATGGAACTCCTCAGCAATGCACATCCACGATCCCGCACACACGATCGGAACTCAGGACCTTCGGTCATACACACGAACGCCTAACCTCTAGACCACTGAGCCTGCATCCAATAGTGAACATTCATAATCCATTTTTATGTAATAAAATGCAAACATAACACATTAACCATATGTTTCTAGCAAATACTCTAAGTATGGTGAATAATTTTATTGTGCATTTATTTAGAATGATTATTTCAATCATTCATGTGTAAGTATTAAATAATCAACAGTGATTATTATTTGTTTTTCTTGCCTCTTGAAATTATTCAACCGCATATGTGCACTATGTAATTATGTTCGAGGTTAAGAAGTACCAATAAAATTATTAAAAAAGACAGGTGGATTTCATCGAAAAAATAAATTGATCATCAAAAAGTACAAACATTTCTGATAGAATGTTGCTAATGTTACTAAAGAGTATTAAGTGATTGATGATAGTTGACAATAAATCCTTGACCTAGATTTTATGTTGATTGGCAGTAGCCAGCATGATGTGTTTAGAAAAATTAAGGAAAGTGCTACTACTTGTAGTGTGGTGGAGTGGTATGATGGGACGGTGTTGGAAGTAGCGGTTGCTGTCGACAGAAGTTTCGTGGGTGTCCGGGTTTCGAGGCGGATAATGAATTTAGATGGCCCAGCGAATCGATAGAGCTATGGAGCTTGGCACGCCTTCAGGATTGACATTGGATGGGAGAGTGAGTGTATTGGACAAGACTGTTTGTAAGTGCTGTATAGCGGAATGTGGCATCGAAGTTTAAGTGGAGAGTTTCAGTGCATCAAAAGCTCGACGTTGGTGAAACATTTGGAGATCAGACGTGAAGACGGTTCAGGTGGAAGAACATACAGTGTGGTACAAATAAATGATTAACAGCTATAAATATGTATTCTGTAAATACTTTGTAACTTTTCGCAATAAACACACATTCTTCCTATCTATTGTCTTGTCTTCCAATAGGATATGAACCTATGTCAGTCGGTCTAAAAATCAATTAATCGAGTCTTGATTGATTTCTTTTAGGATTCAGAGAAAATATAAAGTTTTGTCAAGATTCAGAATATAAAATGGTCATGTTTATGTACTTCTGAGAAATCTCATACTACAACGCAATAGCTGTACAGTGCTTTTTGGTTTTCAATGGTTGTTTTACTAAAAGGAATCCGAGGCACAACGTATGTTAATAGTGAGAATTCTATTTGTTCAGTACCCAGTTCAGTGTATCTCTCATCAAATGTCAGTGAGCAAGCTACTGAATCCAGATAACCATTTATATAATACACATCATGGATTCAGATACTAACCAATATCCAACTTTACTATAACTACAGATGAAAATAATAAAACACATAGATTAACATTAGTTCAGGTTTATGTAATTCAACACGGTACTTTTCTTTTAAATATAAATTCATTTACATTTGAACACTAATCATTTGATCCAAGTCAGGAGACTAAAAATGTGCTTGATTACATTTGAGTACTTAAAATTTGATTGATATTTAAATTTGCCTAGTTTCAGGAAATGAGAAAGAAAAAAATATGGTGAAAAACTGTTCTCTTTGAAAAGACACCTTAGTTATTTTTAGATTTATTTAAAAACCCCAGTATATTTGGTAACTATCATCATATTAACTAGAACAAATCTTTCTTCAATCAGATGACCTCAGGACAATAAAATGAATTACCATGAAAAAGTGAATGTTTTTCTCTCTCTTAAATTGAAATGATTAAATTGATTCATCTGAATCTAATCTACAATATGTAATAAAACTTAATGATTGACAATTAAGGCATATTAATAATGGAAGGGAAGGATTTTGTGAAGATTGTTCAATTTTAATTTCGCTAACACCATAGATTGACCTTTTCATTATAGGACTTTGTGAAAATTGTAGTATTTTCACAGTTGAATTCATGAGTCGATCTAAGCTAAGATTATCATTGAAAACTTGGGAGCAGTAGATGGCTGTTTCGTTCTAATATGGGCGTACATCCACAATCCCACACGTAAGGTTCAAACCCAGGAACTTCGGTCTCACGAGCAAGGGCGGCCTGCTTGATCATCTGGGCTACCTGTTCCTGCCACCTAGATATTTCAACAAGTTATCTATTTTTGCTTGTTTTAATATATCACTATGTTTATTAATCGCATAACCTATTCTGCTGTATTTCTGAAAAGTGTACAACCTTTCGTTGTCAAAGTTACAAAAAACTCAATAAGAGACAATGTGGTTGCTGGCAATATACAACGGAAAGAATGCACATTATTCAGATGTTCATTTAGTGAACTGCTAACATCTTACTGGCGATCACTCAATATTTATCGCCAGGATCGACCAAGAAGAAAGAAACGGAAACTTGTTGAAATACTTTACGCTGAGAATTACTATATTGTACCAAAAATATAATATTGAATAAAGCTGATAATAATAATAATAATAATAATACAAACGTTTAGCCCCTAGACCATTGATCTGGCATCTAAAAGTGTTGATAGGTTGCGCAAGTTTATGGACTGATTGAAGCTAGACATTAACACCGTCGTATGTCAGCTCAGTGGTTTAGGCGTAGAGTGTTCACTGGCGAGACCGACAGTCTCGGGTTCAAGTTCTGCATGCGCAATTGTGGATGTATACTGCTGAGGAACTCATATTAGGATGAAACAACCATCCAGTGCTTTCAGGTTTTTCATGATGGTCTAGTTTCAATTGACTCATGAATTTAATTAATAAAATACATAATTATGAAACAAAAAAAGGATATTTGATATCTGTTCAATAAATTCATTTTATATTCCCATAGTTATTAGTTGTTATTGTCTATTTACTGATGTAATGTCATTTTTATCAGATAATAACATATTAGACAGAATTAATTATTCAATAAATATATCATGGTATATTATTACTTAAAACTCTTTTAATTATGTATAGTTTCAATGTTTCATTTAGCTGATTAGTGATAATGTAATGTAAAAACCGGAACAGAAAATATGAATCATTTGGTGACTTCAAAAAGTTTTCAACTACAGTAAAGTACCTATCTGAATTATTTGACAAGATAATCAATAAATAGATTATTCAGTACTCAATATTAGGAAGGAGATTATTTTTTAAAAAAATCTTTCTTTTTTACCTGTATGTACATTAAGATACATTCCATATTGAACGTACTTGAAGTTTATCAATTAGACTAGATTGAAACTAAATGCATATGAAATGAGCGTACATGTGAACATTAGTAGAATAAACATCATATCTTAATGCAATCATAATTCAAATAAAAATCTTTAATAAATATTTAATTGAATGGTGACAATCAGGTATTCTGATTGATTTTATTTCAACAATTCCTTAGTCAATCTACTATTCAATTATCATCACACAACACTTAACAATAAACACTGTTAAGTGCTCTCGTGCGAAATCATTAGGTCCTGGGTTCGAATCTCTCAGGGGGGGAGGTCGTGGATGCGCACTGCTGAGGAGTCTCACGATAGGATGAAACGAACGTCCAGTGCTTCTAGGTTTTCCATGGTGGTCTAGCTTCAACTGACTCATGATCTTAACCATTAAAATTGCTATAATATCCACAAAACCCATCTGATATTAATAAATATTGTGTTGTGAATTTTGTTAGAGAAAATAAGTAGACACTTCATTCATATGTCATATGATCCTAGTTAGCATTTTTTAACGACTTGGTTTCCTACGGGATGGAGTCGCTAATACTATGCCCAACCCTCCTCCTTTATCCGGAATTGGGACCGGCAGTAATACTGCACTCAATGATTGCATATTTAGAGAGGGGTTTTATAGAAATAGAAACTATCAAATTACTACAATCTCCACAAAACTCCTTTGATTATAATCATCATATGCTCACTAGTGATTGTCTCCAAAAAGGTATTTCTTGGAGTTCTAGTGGGAAGCCATGACCAGTGGAGTTCAACCAGGTCTGTTGTGAGATAGTAACTCATTGATGACAATGGTAGATGTGTCGCTCAATTTCATGGATTAGTTGAAGTTAGACACCGTTAGATGCCGGTTAGTTCAATGGTCTAGAGGTTAAGCGTTCGCGCACAAGACCTATAAGTCCTGAATTGGAATCTCGCGAGTGGCGGGATCGTGGATACGCACTGTTGAGGAGTCCTATATCGGGATGAAACTGCCTTTCAATGTTTCCAGGTTTTCCATGATGATTTAGCTTTAACTGACTCATGAATTCAACTATTAGATTGCATACTTCTTTACAAAATTCAAACTTAATAATAAATAGAGATAGAAAGAATGAAAGAAAAAGTATTATCAAAACTTACCTTTAAAATTACAAAATCCATTTTAATTATACCAGTTATAATCTTTCAGTTATTATTATATATTAATTATCACTTTTGTCCTTTTCAGTAGTAGTACTAGTAGTGGTAGTATTATTATTATTATTATGTCACAATTATTAATGTATACTTATATTCATCATTGTATTCCCTTGAAATCATTGAATTGAATTATTATATTCCAAGTTGATAATATTGTATTGAATAAAGAACATTGAAGTAGAATATTCAATTATTTGATTAGTATAAACTACTCATTATGAAGTTGAATAATGAATGAAACCTAGTCAATGTGTGTTTAACAAACTATAATAGTGTGTGTTTTGTTTTGTTTTAATGAGTCAATTCTGAAATTTTCCATTGTTCTAGTTAGTTGATTGGTTGAATAATAATACTAATGATAATAGTAATGGTATTAGTAAAATAAAATAATGATAGTGTTTATTACCATTACTATTATTATGTTTACTAAAGTTCATGCCTAGGTATAAATATAAATATGTGGATATGTTGATACTTATGAATACATATTTGCGTATTCGCCAGCAGTATGAATTTGGTGCCAGGTCTTTTTTGTTATGTATGATATATAAGGTTACACGTATACAAATGTGCTTATTTGTATGTGTCTATTAATGAACTGTTTGTATCATACATTTAGTTTCATGGATATGATTTCTAATGGATGGAAGCAACATTTTCACCTGTACAATATGATATACATAGCAATGTCATTACACACACAGTACGTTAATCAATTACAAAAAATGCATTTGGAATGGGTTTTTGTTTTGTTTTGTATTGGGTGTGTTTATTCGATACCACAATAATTCTAAATATCTCTTCCTATATCATTATTTATACAATGTTAATGTGTGTATGTGATGAGTCTGTGGGTGTGTGTGTGTGCGTATGGGATTTTGACCTATGATCACTATAATAATAAAATGTACGTATGTATAAATTGTACGAAAAGTCAACGGGAGAGAGAAAGAGGGAGAGTGATAGATAGACCAAATCTCCCCCACTATTAAATATACAATGATGAAATTTATTTCTTCTCTGAATACATATATAACCATACGGGTTAGTTAGTTACTTGATGAACCATACTTCTACTAGCCTATCTAATAATGAAAACGTAAAAATGACATACCATTGCACATATTCATAAATACAAGTTTGCACGCATTTAAATATTAAAATGTAGACGTGTTCAATATATATATATATCAGACAATCTATAAGTTTGGAGGCTATAACAAACGGAGTAGAAAACTAGTGTAGAAATGAGGAAAGGATGCTGGATAACATAAAACGAATTAATTGTCCATACTTAATGCCATAGTTCTATTATATTATTATTATTATTATTATTATTATTAGTAGTAGTAGTAGTAGTAGTAGTAGTAGTAGTATTATCCTAAACTGATCGTTGAAAAAAGTCATGACAAACTGGAAAATCAAATCAAACTTCTCATCCAGTAGTAAAAAGCGGTAGTTGATATCAGGCTGTCGTGATTTGTAGATTTGTAATCCTGATTGACATGGATATTCTACTAGTTAGTAGTCGTTAGTTAGGTGTGACCAGAATCATTAGGGAACTGATGATTTTTGTGGGATTCGAACTCACATCTCCGAACTTTATTAATGAGCTATTCAGAACACAGCTGAACTGGTGTTGGAATAAGATGCTTATACTGACTAATCACTGAATCCTAGCCAATATAATGGTTGTCTGCTTCATTTGTTCCTCATCGAGTTCTATGGATTAAGTTGCAATGTGACCACTAGTGTAATTGACTCGACAGTGTTTGCTATATGTTAAATGTTGCATAGTTGAAGATGGTCGCTGAAGAACTTGTTAGTAAAGCCGATGTCAATTTTTTAGTAAAGATGAAAATTATCTTCAAACTGTTGAGAGTGCAATGCACTAAACATCACTTAAATGAGTGAATAAAACTGTTTCCTGAAAATTTTTTTTTAAATCACAGAATCACTTGAATAAATAATGTTATAACTGGATTTATGAAAGTCAACCTAACTTATTAAGTAGGTAGGGGAAAGTTAAAAGCTGTCTATACAGCTTTTTACCTGTTCACTTAATTAATAAAGGATGTTAATTAAACCTAACTGAAGCTCTTCCATTAATATGTCATTAGATGGTGGTAGTAAACAGGAAGCCCTGGACCCGGGTGTCTTGCTACTTGGCACTCGTCAGCAAGGTGTACTTGTAATCTTGAGGGAACTGGTGCTCCCTGGCGGACTCGATCTCGTGTCACCTGGCTTCACAGTCAGAGACGTTACCAGTGAGCTATCCGGGTCGCTACTAATCTCCTATAGGACTGAGATGTAATCACAATTGATTGATCACTGGGTGGTGATCAATGTCATGCGTGTCTAATCCTTATTATTAGTGTAGATTCAATGCTATCGATCATGTTGCAATGTGGCCATCTAATCTCAATATATATAGCGCCCGCATTGTCAAGTCACCTAGACTGGTGGCCACATTGCAACATGATCGATAGCATTGGATCTGCACTAATAATGAGGACTAGACACGCATGACATTGATCACCACCCAGTGATCAATCAATTGTGATAAATATGTCATATTCTAGAAAATTCGTCACATGATATACATACATCCGTGTTAACAGATCCAACTCATAGACTGATTGACCCTGAATATTTTGAATATCCTATTATTGTTTTTTAAACTATCTCATTAAAAATACAATATCCTTCATGTAAGAAAACAATATCATTTGACTGGTATGGGTTTTGTTATTTATATTCAAATACAATAAGAGTGAGACAATCACAATCAAGCTAAGTGGAAACTGGAGACGTGTATTGACATATAACAACTGCATACTTTAGTGGTGATATTTGGTAGTTCTAAGCTTGAATCCTAGTAAAGTAATAAATGCATACCACCTTCAAATTAAACTAGTCTCTGAAAAACCTATTCAATAAAATAACAAGTTTTATAGTTAACACCAGAGACTGATCTTAACTAGAAAAAAAACTCAACAATCTACACAAACTTTTGTGATACAAAAAAACCCAACATGAAATGAAAAACCGATTGGAAGAAAATATCTTTCTCTTTGTGAAATTATGGAGATTAATGGTTCACATGGATGTTGTTAGCGATATTACATTTTCTGAGCTGGAGAAGTATTGTAAGTTTGTTCACGTTCGAGTGTAAAGTTTTGAGAAAATTTATAATAGAAAGAACGAGAACACAAGTGGGGGACAATCGAATGTATTTCGACACAAACTTACAAAACATCTTTGATCCACCAAGGTGCTTGGTACCTGTACGGTTGCACCACAGGATTGAGCTGTACTATTCAGATTGTATCGGTAAAGCCTATATAGTGTCTGGTTCTCCTGTGAAACAGGACTGAACTGTACTGTCTGGGTTGTCACGTGAAAATCTGGATGGTGTCTGGTTCTCTTAAAAAAACCAATGTAAAATTACCCTGGCCTACAAGGATATATCATATAACTGTAACTATATAACTTACAGAATATCTTAGTACAATCTGAGAACCATACAGTAAATACTTCATTTACGAAATGATTGTTACTTCGTTTCCACACCAATCTTTCTCTGTTTTCGTTCACTTTTCTCCGATCTTCTTAACCTTCTACCGCCAGGTATTTCAATTTCTATTGATGATACATACTACTTATATCTGTCGACATCAGTAGCACATACTGCACCATGGTAGTATTGACAATGGTGATGAAAAGACAATTAAATGAAATAATTTTTTTGTTCAGTTCTTTCCATAATGTTTCAGTAGGAATGTAGAACTGATTGTCGAAAAAGAACCCTTTACTCTTACTAATTAATTTTTTTAAATTTTAATAAAGTGATTATTAACTAAAATTAAAATTTTAGATTTAAGTAAATTTGTGGTAGTTTTTATAAAGAATTAAACACTCACAGAAATCATGGTGTACAGTTGACATTACTACGAAACAATAGAATTTTAACGGTGTTCGTGAATTTAACAGAAAAATTTTTGAATATAAATAGAACGTTATTGAAAGTCAGGGAACACTGGTTGGCTGCCTCATTCTAATATGGGACTTCTTAAAAGTACAGATCTCCTATTCCATCATGGGTTCAATTCATGAACTTCAGGCATCATAACGAAATCATAATCATTGATACGTTTTCAACTTCAATCAATCTGTGATATAGATCAATAATTATTCAATAACAATGGTGACTACTGTATCACTTCTTATATGTCTGGATTCAGTTAGTCAAAGATTTTCATTTGAACTTCAGGAAAATTTTGAAAGAAGTCACTAATTAGTTGATTACTTTAGTTTGGACGGAGGGGTTCTATGAATATCAGGTTAATTTTCGAGTCATATTCATTAAAGACTGATCAGAGAGTATTGAATGATTGTTTCTTTCTAGTATGAGACTCCACAACAGTGAGCAACAACAATCCAACCAGGAATCAAATCGATGGATTTTCGATCTTAGTTGATAAACAAAACCTCAAAATACTGTCGAATATTTAATACTAAAAATGTCCAAGTGGTATCTATTTTAGTGCAGTTTACACATAATTTTATATATAATAGGCTCCTGGTTGTTTAACTATCATTTACGGTTATTATGTCATCATGTCTAACATAAATGATTTTAAATTTCATTAATCCTTAGTGAAACGTAGTACTATTCTAATGAGTGAAGTAATCGTTTAATCGACTTTTCTTAGTGGGTGATATCCCTGATTACTGAGTTTATTTCCAAAGGTTTGGAATGGTAAATTCTGGACAGTATTAAACTTTAAACTAACCATATCTAAACTCCATGTTCAGTGTACAGTAGACCGGAAAATCAAACTCTTCTGTTGCCATGTTTCGATCACATTTTATCAGTTAATTAGCATATAACAAATTAACCTAAACAAAATCTAATGACACATACAAAAATCTTGCAATACTTGATATCATGAAATTTT